GAAGAAATGTTTTGGGTTTTGTGGGCAGTATAATTCTCAGCCACAGCTACACAAAACTCTGCTATCGTAGTAGGAAAGCGGCCGTGGTCAGTATGTAAATGAATGAGTGTGTCTGCATTCCAATAAAACTTTATTTAAAAAAAAACAAAAACAAAACAGCTGGTGGGCTGGATTTGGCTGTGGGCCGTAGTTTGTGGACCCCAGCTCTGGATATGGCCCCTCTTAGCCTAAGATTGACATGAGCCCTGGAGTTCCCTTTACCGGCCTTCAGCCGTCCTGGGTTTGGTTAGCTATGGTGGTGGAGAAGGAACTAATCCAAGGGATCAGAGAGAGTTTCTAAGATTCTGTCCCTCCTTACCAGCTAGTGTCTTCCTCATGGGTCCAATCTTTGCTTTGCAGGGCTCAGCTGACTGCACTCTCTCCTCATGTGGGCTTTCAGGGGAACTTTCCTCCCAGTTCACCTGACTGGATTATCACCTGAAGGTACTTGCTCAGTGCCCGACACTAAGGAGGCCCTCAGTAAATGGCAGCTGTACCCATATTTGCACCTTCAGGTTTGTAGAGGTCTCATCTGTTCTAGGAATTGCAAGTCTGTATAACATGACAGTTAAGAGTGGAGCCTTTGGACCCCTGTCTAGGTTCTGCCATGAGTCTGTGGACACAAGCCTCTCTCAGCCTGCTTGTCTTTACTTGGCCATGCAATCTCTAATTCAGTGAAGATTAAATGTGAGAATACACTCAAAGAGTATGGTATGGAGGACAAGCAGGCCCCTTGTTCTCTCCCTCTGTGCTTTTACCCCTCCCTCCCCAGGAGGCAGAAATCCCTCCAGGATCAGAGAAAAAATGGGCTCAGAATAAGGAATGGGTTCCTCCAGGCCCTGACAGACAGCTGGAGAAAGGAAGAGGTTGTATGGCCAAACATGCAGCTGCTTCCTCCCCAGTGACTGGGGAAATGGGATAATCTGAGGCTGCTGGGCCTCTTTGGGCACATGAACCCGAGAGGTTAGTTTGTGCCTCTTTGCTGAGAGTCTGGCTATGAGTCACCAGAGAGGACTACCTAGATCAGGGAGGGGCTGCTGGAGCATCTGGATTCACCCCTGAGCCATGGCAGGCCTGCTATTGGCCTGTCTGAATCACGTCGGTGGGTCAAGCATGAGGAAATTCACCTCAGACCCAGTGGGTAATTTTATTCCTGTCCATCAGAGGCAGCTGGGTCTTGGCATCTTTGATTAACCAAGATGGCAACCTCCACAATGAAGTCTAGAGCATCTTGGGAAGGCATTGGGAGATAAGTCCTACCTAGGGAGGTGTGGGGTCCAGCGAGCTCTGAAGGAGAAAGAATCTTACTAATAATCATAATATTGATTCTAATAAATATTATTATTCTTAGTCTGTCTGTTCTGAGCCCTGTGTCCTTTCATTTAATTTCTCTCAACAATCTTGAGAAGCAGATTGTTTTATTAACAGCATTTTACTCATCAGGAAGTTGGGGCTTCGAGAGATTAAGTGACTTGCTCAGGTAGAAAGTGACTTATACAAGTAGAATGACTTATGCAATATTGTCATTCATTACTTTAGAAACTAAATGGAGTAGGGATGGTGGAAGCTAGGGTGTGGTGGATATCTGTTACTTTGGTCATCTGTACAGCATCCGTCCTCCCTTCTTCTGGTGACTTCCCTGACTTTCCTTTGGGACCTCTCCCAATCCTTGCTACCATCATGCAGTTGGGAAGGGCTGGCCCCATTTCTGGCTCCAGGGGTGACCACATGGCTCATGCTTAGCTGATGAGAGCGGTCCATTTCTTGGTCACAAAATAGGCTCAGAGATGGGCAGGTGACTCAAGCTGAGGAGATCAGAGCCCTCCCAGGATTTTGATGGATTTGCCAGGAGAGAAGAGCTGCCTTTCTGTTGGGGTTGCTAAGTCAAGACAACTTAGAAAGGAGCTGTTGGTTGGTGTCTTGAGGAGAACCTGTCGAGAACCCATTTGAGAGTAAGACAAGGGAGAAAAGAATCCCAATGATGGAGGACAGAGTCCTGGAGATGCCATTTAAGCCCAGATATCAATCCTTGCCTTAAGTAATAATTATCTCTGGACTTTTCCATTATGTGAGCCAATATAGGTCCTTTATTGGTTGGGCTGGTTTAGTTGTTTTTGTCACTTGCATCCAGAAGAGTACTACCTGATACATAAGGATTTTCTCATTTTAAACCCTAGCTACAACTGCAAGGAAGACTCAAATTAAATTCCCACCTTACCCCCTCCATTCTGAGGTTCGGACATCCTAGACTTTGGGGAGGCCTAAAACTTCAGGCAGACTCTAGGCTTCTGCCCAGCATCTTTAGCAACCGTCTCCTGATGGCTTCTCTACCAGGAGCCACATCGCTCCTGACATCTTCGTCAGAAGACTGTTCCTCTAAACAGAACCGATCGTATCTGCAGAAAGATCGAAGCCCTTGGCATAGTGCCTGGGTCTCAGCCTCTCTCTCGCTTTGCTGGTTGACTCCCAGCTCCTACCTCCATGCTTCTGTTCGTGGCGTTTTCTCTACCAGGGCTGCCCTCGCCTCTTCTCTCCCAGGGAATCCTATACTTTGCAGAATGTCGCTTCCTTTGTGATGTCTCCCTGCTGTGGCCCATTACTTCTCTCTGCAATGCATGATCCCGTAGCTGGACTGCCTGGGTACAAAGCCTCTCCCTAGCATTTATGGCCCTGCCATCTTGCGTAAATTTACCTCACTTTCTTAGGCCTCAGACCTTCATCTGTGAAACAAGGATAATATGACCTACCATGTAAAGCTGTTGTTATACTGAAGTGAGATAATTCACGTAAAGCACTTGACACCATTCTAGACACCTTCATATGAGTTGCCTATTATTATGATACTGATCACATAGAACTTGTTCACATGTCTCTCACCCACTCCCCCCAGTCTGTTTACTTTGTCATTTATCTACTATTTCATCTGACACACTGCGAGCTCCTGAGATGGTGTCTAATCATTTCGAAATGCCTAGAACCATGCATAGCTCTTAGCCTGTAGTAGTGCTCAGCTCTGACCCCAGCCCCATCCTGTATTCTGTACCTACTAGGTGCCAGGCATCTGGATAAGTGCTTCACATCTTTTTCTGAATTCACATCAGTCAAACTCCAAGAAAGTTATTAATGTGCCCATATTTTTTTGACATAAGGGAGACTCAGACAGATGAGGCAGCTTGCCCAAGGTAGCACAGCTAGAAAAAGGGTAGAGCTGAGACCCAGACTCCAAAGGCGGAGCTCTCCTCATTACTTCTGCATCTTATCTCCCTAGGCCATACCCTTGGGGGCCACACCTTGACTTACTCACCCTTGCTTCTCAGAGCCTCCCAAAGCAAACATATGGCCTTCTCCAAGGGGCCTGCCCTGTGGGAGTCCAGGCTGGCCTGGGACTGCCGCCCCTCACACAGGCTGACAGCTGCCCACTAGAAGCCATGCCAGGATGAGACCAGCCCATCTAATATTAGCTGGCCTGGCATGGCTCGAGGTGGGCAGTCACCAGCCTGGATGGGGGGATGGCAGATGCACTAGAGCAGACAGATAAATGGACAGATTTAAGCAAACACTGGACAAAGCCAAACTACTCCTCACAGCTGTGCTTGGCCTCGGAGTAACCACTTCGCTGACCTTACCTCTTACTACCAGCTTCTGCCCTCTCCGTGCATAACTGGCCCTCCTCCTCCCCTCCTCCTTCTACCCCTTCTCATAGATTCTGCTGTGCACCAAATGCTTATCTCCCCTGCCCTCCTGCCTCCGCCGACATAACTTGGCAAAATTAATCTCAGAGAAGTCTGTCCTGACTCCCAGGCTATCTCCTTTATGGCACATGTCAAAACTGTTTTGAAATGACTATCTGTGCAAGTTGTCTTTTATTTTCTGGCTAGAACCATACCTGTTTTGTTTTCCTGTCTTGTTAATCATTGAATCCTTGTCTCTCTGACAAGCAGTTTCAATGAATGCTTATTGAAGGAATAATCTGGAAAGATACTCCTGTGTCAGCTCTCTCCCAGCCATGGACTTAGGATCAACCGCATCATGGAGGAAGTGCTGCAGAGTGGTGGGAGCACAAATACTGCAGCCACACTGCCTGGGCAAATTGTTTAATCCGTCAGCACCTCGGTTTCCCATCTGCAAAATGAGAGCCGTAATGGCGCCTTCCTCACAGAGGTGACGTGAAGACTAAATGTGTTGTGATATAGAGAGTACTTAGCGCAGAACCTGGAACATACTAGGTGCTATTGTATGCGTTCCAGTGATTATTATCCTACATGCCTGGACAGTGAGAACTACAGGGAATTAATACGGGATATCCAGACTATCAGCCCCATTTTACAGATGAGAAGATTGAGGCTTAATGAAAAGAAGGGATTAGGCTGACATGACACAGGCAGGAAATCTCTTAAGACCATGCACCTTTGTTGTAACTTTTCAGTTCATTATATTCTGAGAAAAATGAATGTTGGGGCCAAAGAACAGCATTCCTTCTTTCTTCATTCATTCTTCAAATATTTATGTGGCTCATAGTTGGTGGTCCAATGTGTTTTTTGAATGAATAGATAAGTGAATGAATGAAGAAATATCATGAGGCCTTTGCGATTAAGGAAAAAAGCCAGCAATGTGGGCTGTGAAATCCCTGGCTTGCATACTCCACTTCATTCTTATGCTGATGGCAGACGTAATTAATCAATCATGGTGTATCGTCGCCCTGAGCCTGAACCCAGCCTCAGAGTCCTCCTCACGGTCTACCATTAATTGACCAGATTTGGCCCCTCAGATGAATTCTGTGTGCCGTTCTCAGTCTGACCTCAGAAATCTCTTTTGATTATGTGGTTTCCTTCTTCCTCTCCTTTCATCTTTCTCTCTTAGACTCTTTTACTTCTTATTTTCCACCCATGCCACCTCCATTTCCCTTTCTTTCAGTAATATAGATCAGAGATATTGCCGTTTGCATTCCGATTGAAACTTACCTGAGGGCTCGAAGCTCCCACTTCCCTGTTTCAGTGGAGAAGGTGAGAGGGCTATCTCCTTTATGGTACCTTGGATCCCTGAGCCAGCTGGATCGCCTTCGGTCAGCCTGTTGAGAGAGTCCACACTCCTGGTCTCAGAGGGGCTGGAGCCTCCCAGGTGGGCCCTTTAGATGCAGCAGGCCCAGAGGAAGAGGGACAAAGTGCCTCATATGCACTTCCTGGTGGGCCAGCTCTTTCTGGCTCTGCCCGGGCTCTGCCCCACTTCTGGGAGGCTTGCCATAAACTCTCCCTGCCTTGTTAATCTCACCAGGAAGAAGGAAGTGAATGTAAGGGCTCGCTGGCAGGAAATGAGTCTAAAGTCTTGCCTGGCTGAGAAACCACCTGGAGCTATGGCTAGGGCCCAGGCTGTGAGTATCTCTTCCTCAGAGAGCTCTCCTGGTCTTGGCAGAGGAAGTTTGGGGTGGCAATTTGAGCAACTTAATCAGGAATGATATACTACAATTGCTATCTGAAAACACAAAACAAAACACAACAGAACACCCCCCCCGCAAAATAAACCAACCTTATGCTCACAACCTCTCCAGGCCTTGTGGGGTGCAATGGGACCTGTAGAGTGAGTTAGAGAAGGTACTGCTACCTGCTCTGAGGTGGTGGGCCAGGGTGGGGGCTGATGAAGGAACCAGGGAGGAGATGAGCCTGGGAGGGGAGACACATACAGGCTATGGGTGGGGATGGGGCAGCAAAGGAGGAGGGGATCATAAGTGACTGCAGATCGTGAGCCTGGATGGTGGAAAAGGGTCCCCCTTGATCAGGAGCGAGGAAAATAGGAAGAGGAAGTGGTCTGGGGAAAAGATTCTGGATTTGGCTGGGGGCACATGGAGTTGGAAGTTAAAGCTGAAGAGAGAGGGAGGGAGAAGAGAGTAGGGCCAGTATGTGGTAGAATTTCAGTGCAACAGCGAATGCAGTGTTTAATGCCTCTCGCTCCCCAGGACACGAGGGGGCATTTAGAGGGGCTCAGTGTCTCCCACTCCCGATAGAGCACCTTCAGGCTTGTCACTACTCATGATTCTCATTTCTGAGAACTTATCCCCTTGGGATGAGTTCTTTCCCAGGAGGCACCGAGTTCTCCATGGGCACCTGGGGGCCTTTCTCACTTGTTTGCTAGCTTCTGGTGTCCAGAAGCATCTGGTGCATCAGGTGATTTCTAACCTGACTGTTTTCAGAAAGGATGTGTGGCCTCCTTGAAATGAATATCCAGGGACATGAGGTGAAATAGCTGCTTGGAAGATAAAGACAAATCTCTAGAAGCTGGTGCTAGGATAAGGTTCCTGGGCACTGAGGTGGCCCCCAGGCCTGTGTTCTGGCTGCCTAGCTGGTCCTTGGGGAGCGGAAGTGGGCTCCCTAGGGGCGTGTCCCAGGGCAGGCCATGCTTTCCTGCATCCTGACTGGTTTTGGGCCTGACCTTGTGTCTGCTCCTGCCTCCTTTCCTCTCCTCTCCCCTGTCTAGACAGTTCTGCTTTAGTGTCGCTTCTTTGCTCTACCCTCCTTCCCCGCCCCCGGTCCCCCACTTTCCAAAGTAAACAAGCAAGTCATTGAATTAAAACCCTGGTAAGTTCTACCTAGCAATTCTATTCTTCTTCTTCCCTCTTCCACTCTTGAGGACCCTGGAATACATTGTGCCCCCTGGATGCTCTAGGACACTCTTCCTAGCTTGTCCCTATCAACTGATTAGCAACCTTAATTCCGTCTGAAATTTCGATTTCCTTGTGCCAGGTAACTAATATTACATATTCATGGGCTTTGGGTTTTAGGACTTGGACATCTTTGAGGACAATTATTCTGCTAATCGCAGGTGTAATCCTGTTTAATTTTCTTTATAGCATTTACAATAGCCTGAAATTAAATTTCCTGAATATTTTTGACTTGTCACCCATCTTGCTTGACTGGAAAGTGAATCTTTGAGGGCAGGGGCCTTGTTGGTGCTGCTCACTAGAACAGCACCTGGTATGCAGCAAGTACTTAATTATAGTTTGCTGAATGAATGAATGACTACTAGCTCATTTATGCGTTGGTCCAAGAGCCAGGAGCTGTGACTCCCACTCTACCTTGAGCAGTGTGTGACCCTGGGCCTTCCCTCCCCTCTCTGGGTCTCTGGCTTCCTCACAACAGCCCTGGGAGGCAGGGGAGGCCCAGGGCATCCCACCTAGAGCTCACGTCTTAGAGAAGCTGATTATACCATAGTGAAATCATCCCTTAGCTATCTTTCTCATGGCAAAGCCCTCACTGAAGCACAACCTGAACAAGCCTCGGAGGGCACAATCTCCCCAGTGTTCACTCAGAGAGGAATCAGCTGGTTCTCGGCATGGGTGCTGCTTTCTGTACATGCCAGGGGCTGCCTGCCTCCCCCAGCCAGCCACACAGGTGGACAACACAGGCCCTGTAGTAGATGCTCAATAAACTCTGACTGTGATTTTGACACTCCTGGTGAAAGGGGCCAGGATGCCTTCTCTTCTCTCTTGGATGAGAACACTGAAAGAATGGGAGTTTGTGTCAAGTCTGGTTTGGCAGGAGGTCTTGAAAGTGAAATTATTGGTGTTGGACAATTGATTCATTTCCTTGGTTAGTGTTGGTGCTAAAGGCCGACCTAGCGGCCAGCAGGCAGTGGAAACGGTCTCCTTTTCTTCCATTGCTGACAGACTCAGGCAGCTGCAAGCACTCAGGGGAGCGACTGTAACTCAATAGCATATTTCTCTTATTTAACTATAAAAAGAATACAATTCCGTTAGGAAATTTTGGAAAACACCGAGTAGTGTAAAGGAAAAGATATCAGGCAAATATAACCTCCCTTTGGGAACAATGTCAATATTTTGGCCTATTTCCTCCCTGGTTGTATGATGGAACTCTTCCTGTGCATCCAGTTTGTACCCTTCTCTGTTCACTTATCATCATAGCTGAGGCGTTTCCCATGTAGTTGAAAACCGGTAGATGTGACTTTTTAATGACTGCGCACTATCACATGTTACAAAGCACCATCTCCATTTACTCTCCTCAGCTGCTGGTCATTTGCATGTGTGTGTGTGCACATGTTTATAAATGCGCTGTAATTAATTTTTGCAGGCACATCTTGAGACCTGTGTGCACCTTTATTTCCTCCCTTTTTAAAACAATGGGACCAACAAGTCTAGCTTCCTATCCCACAAAGCTTTTTGAGGCAAAAAAGGAGAAAACTGATATCAAGGTGCTTTCAAAATCATGGGGAAAAGAGCCATTCAAATGGAAGGGCAGATTTTGAGCACAGATTCTTCAAGTACCATCTCTTCAAGGGGTGTGTGTGTGTGTGTGTGTATGTTCCTTAACAATTGGAAGATCCAATGAGTGTGGGACAAGAAATAATAGTAGCAGTATTTATGAAGCACTTACTATCTGCCTGGTGCTCTGTTAAACAAGGCACATGGATAATCTGAATTCATCCTAACAACAACCCTCCAAGGGAAGTACAATTATTACTTACAAATGAGGAATCTGAAGCACAGAGAGGTTAAGTAATTTGCCTATGGAGATACAGCTAGCAAGCAGGAAATTCAGGAGTCGTGCGTGCGCGCGCGCACACACACACACCCCTCTGAGAGCCACAAAGTCTGCAAAGAGGGCACCGGAAAACTGTAGTAGCACCTTCCCCGGGGCTTCAGAATATCAGCATTCTCTGAAATAAGGTGCTTTTTAAAAATTGAGCATATCCCTGGCAGGTAGACATACTAATCTAAAGATTATTTCCCCAGAGCTTGGGCAGTTTCTGAATTAGAATGCTTCACTCAGGGCAAAAAGCCTAGAGGAACAGAATCCACCCTCCGCATGTCTGAGACAAAATGGCAGAGTGGTGTCACTGTGTATACGTACGTGTGTGTATCTTAGTGTGGGTAGCCATTAGTGAGTAAGTGTATGTTGCTAGGGTAACAATAAGCATGTGTATGTGTATGTGCACAGAGGTTCACAGATGTGTGTGTTTATATAAGCTGTATTTGACTTTCTGGGTACCCAAAGGCAAAAGAGTTGGTTTATTAACAAAATAAATGTCCACCACACTGTTTTGTTTTGTTTTTTTTTTGTAGTTCTAATCTTTGAGAAGAAACAGGACTAGACCTAGGCAGGGATTTCTTTGTATGACCTTCAGCATCATATTAGAAGGGTTTTTCACAGTAACCACGGGCCTTGATCACAAAAGGAGCCAGGTGTGTGCTGAAGCCATGGGAGAAAGGCACAAAGCATTACTATTAAGGGCGCCATCAGTAAACTACCCACAATTTACAGTTCTTCACACCCTCGTTAATTGACCAAATCCAATGTGGCCACATGTGCCTTGTGCCTTGATCTGCTATGTAATAAAATCAGTGCCTTGGCACGAGAGACACAGCCAATGATAGCATACAAATAGAGTTAGAAATTTCTTTTGCAAGTATTAATAATTCATTTCTTCATTCATTTCTTTCAATGCTACTGCTATTCCTTTGAACAACAATGACAACGAACAATGGGAATAGAAGTCTTTCCATTGATGCCAGGACTGGAGTGGGCAGCCGGGCAGAAGCTCTGGGGCTTGGAGGCCTGGGTCACCAGCAGCCTGGCTGAGCTGTTCCTCTGGCTGGGGCAGGGACAGAGTGTCTGAATCAGGTCAGAAGTGCAACATAGGTCTCACTGAGCTAACGTCAAGGTGTCATAGAGCTCTACCCCCTTCTGAAGGCTCCAGGGGAGAATGTTTCCTTCCTTTTTCCACTTTCCAGAGGCCACTTACATTTCTTGGCTCGCAGCTCCTTCTCCCATCTTCGAAGCCGGCAGTGTTGCATCTCGATGACCTGTCTTCCATCCCTCGCCTCTCTCTCTGACTCTCTCTTCTGTTTCTCTCTTCCACTTTTAAGGACTCTCATGATTACTTCAGATCCACCCGGATAATCTAGGATAATCTCCCTAATTTGAAGTCAGCCGATTAGCAAACCTTAATTCCATCTGCAGTCTTAATCCTCCTTTGCCATGGAACCTAACATATTTATAATAATTGAGGTGGGGAAATCACTTCAAATGTTTTAAGAATTGTAAAAGTAATGCTCGTTCATGGTAAAATATTCGAAACAGTGCAGAGCCACATGAAATAACCATTTAAATGCCCACTTTTAT